TTTTGGTCTGGATTTTTAGAACATGTGTCTTCTATCTGATTAACTCCTCTCTTCCAGAGAGTGCTTCCCCCATACTCTAGAATTTATCCAGGTAACTCATTAAAGGAGCAAAGTCAGTCAGTATCCTAAATCTTGACCTTTCCTAGTATTAAAGCTGACTGATGGTAATACATTTAGCTGTGTGATTCCATTTTTCTCGCCAATATTTCTAAGCACCCTGGTTGCTGGGAGGTGTGGGTGGGGAGGAAATATTAATTATGAACACCGAGCTACTCTATCATTTAACTGTCAGAATTCAGGGCTGTGTTCATGTCTCTGGTGAGATGGGAAATTGATGCAGTCTTTGAGAGCACATGCAAATCACCCGCCTTGGATTTCCACAGCTTCTTTTGGAGACGGTGATGCACTGATATTTTGAAATTGGGTGTTTTGATTTTGAGCACCTTTAAGTTGGTCTCAAGCAACTTAAGCTCCCAATCTTTCTGACTCTACCTCCCAATAAAAATAAATATATTTTTTAAATGTATTTATTGCCAGGTGTGCTGACTCAGGCCTTTAATCTCAGCACTTAGGAGGCAGAGGCAGGTAGATTTCTGTGAGTTTGAGGTCATAGAGTGAATCCCAGAACAGACTCCAGAACTACAGAGAAATGCTGACTCAAAAAACAAAACAAAGAAAAAAAAATTCAGAATCATCCTTGGCTACATAGAATTTTCAGAGCCAGTTCCAGCTATTTGAGACTTTGCTTATCCATCCATCCATCGTTTGTTGTGGCAGAGTCTTCTCTAGGTAGCACTGACTGGCCTGTAACTCAGAGAAATCTATCTGTCTCTGTTTCTCAGTGTTGAGATTACAGGTATGTGCCAACACTCCTAGCTAAAATTTTGCTTTAAACAAACAAACAAACAAATAGAAAACAAAACTACCCAAACATTGTTTCAGATGACAGAGGCTTTTAGTTTAATATTTATGGTAAGTATTTAATTTTAACTTTTCTGGACCAAGCAGGCTTGCTATGATAAAAAATTACCTATAGTTGGGGGGAAAATTCCCTTCATGAAATTACCTTGGAATTTTTATTCCCCTCCAAGACAGTTTTTCTGTGTAGCCCTGGCTGTTCTGGAACTTGCTCTGTAGACCAGGCTTTCCTTGAACTCAAAAGATCTGCTTGCCTCTGCCTCTTGAGTGCTAGGGTTTACCTTGGAATTTTAACTCTAGCTCTACATATGATAGAAATCTATTTTACCAGACATTTGACTGAACTGACTTTCAGAAAAGAACAGGCACCTTCTCTATTGAGAGAAGAGAACTCAGGACTATGTAACAATTTTAATGGAGTAGTGATGGAAAAATAAGTGTAACATGATAGTTGCTCTTGCCTGTTTCATTGTATTTTAGAGACACTAGAACTGCATTAGTGGAAGCTGTCTCTAATCTGACCTAGAACATAGGATGTATGTGCTTGATTCTGTGTGGAAATCAGTTCTCAAGTCCAGGAACCTGTTTGGTTCCTGTTGTTGGGTAGTCTCCTAGAGAGATGTGCCCATACTCTTGGGCTGTTCCTACTCTTCCCGTATTGAGGTAGGTGCTTTGTCCTGGGGACTGGATGCCATTATACTACTGTGCTAAGGAGCTCTTGATTTCCCAACTTGTTTTGTTGTTGTTTTGTGTGTGGTTGGTTTGTTTTTGAGACATGGTTTCACTATACAACCCTGGCTGGCCTGAATTTATTATGCAGAGCAGGCTGGCCTCAACCCTACAGATCCACCTGACTCTGCTGTGAGTGCTCACAGGCACACCCCACCATATCAGACCTTGATTGTTTTTTAGGAGCAATATTAAAGGGCAGGTACATTCCATGTGGTGACTTTTAACCCTAGAAGGCTTCCAAGTAGTGTCTAAAAGTATCCATGTCCTTAAGCTTAGAAATTGTGTTGTGTCTGTGGGACTAGTGAGCTGCCTGTGCTCTTGATTGGCTGTGAGTGGGAAGCTGTTGCTTCCTTCAGGCTTCTTTGGCATTCTTGGCATACTGGCTATTGGATTTGGAGACCCCTTAAAGTTTTTAAGTTTATCCCCTTGGTGCTAGGGTTTCTACTTATGAGGATTTACTACTTTGATTAACTGAGCATTTGTTTGGAGGCATTGGATGAGGTGGGGTCCTGTTGGTCTTGACCGCCTGGGTTTAGGTGATTTCCCTACCTCAGCGTCTCAAGTAGCTGGGCTGAAGGTATTGGACATTGCTCCTCCTAGCGTATTTTGATTACCAAAACAAAACAAACAAACAAACAAAAAAACCTAGAGGGTTAGATCTTTAGTACAGGGATACTGCTGCACTCAACTTTGAAACCAGAAATGACATGGCTTTCCCTTGGGGGGAGCTAACTAATGTGTGTGTCCACATGCGAGCATAAGTGTATTTGTACTTATGGAAGGACAGCCTTGAACGTACTTTCTTAAGATTGTTGCTCACCTTATGTAGAGACAAAACAGAATCTGTCACTGGTTTGGAACTTGTCAAAGCCTAGGATGGTTCCTCCTGTGTCTCCTCAGCACAAGGATTATAAGTGTGCACCACCACACCAGATTTTCTTTTCTTTTCTTTCTTTTTTGGTTTTTTGAGAACAGGGTTTCCCTGCCTGTCCTGGAACCTGCTCTGTAGGCTAGGCTGGACTTGAACTCAGAGATCTGCCTGCCTCTGCCTCCCAAGTGCTGGGGTCAAAGGTGTGTACCACCTCTGACTGTCTAAATACTCAGCTTTTTAAATGTTGGTTCTGGGGATTGAATTTGGTGCACATTACCAGCTCAGCTATCTCCTCAGCCCATATTGGGATGTGGTGGAAGTCAGAGGACAACTTGTTGGAGCCTTTTTTTTTTTTTTAAACTGTGTTGGCCCTAAGGATTGAATTCAGACTGTTAGGCTTGGAGGCGAATGCTCTTACCCTTGAGCCATCCCACTACCCGCCCCCTCCAGCTTGGTTTTGAAGGAGGGTAGACGTCATCCTCCATGAGAACGACCCATCCAGGTACTGTTCAGATCTTTCTCTTGGAAGCAGATAGCTCTATTGGGCATCACACAGGCAGGAAAGAGTTGGAGTTGGAGATTTCCAGTCAAGATTCTGATCAGTTCTACTCTCCTGAAACTGTTCCTGGTCTTTGGATATCTCCTCTTTCTTTTCTTCACTGCAGGACATTGAAAGACTACTAAAATTAGTTCTTACAGTGGATTATGGATATCCCTGTAAGGAGTTCAAAACTAGGCTTTCCTATGACTTGCCATGGTAACTTGACTTTTAGGCTAGGCTTGGTACACATGGTCTCCCATCTGTACTGTGGGCTACTGAGCATCTCCTTGCACCCTGATCATATTAGTTGCTTAGTTTATTTATTTTTAATATTTATTTATTCATGTATTTTATGTATATGAGTCCTCTGTCTTCATGCACACCAGAAAAAGGTATCTGATCCCACTACAGATGGTAGTGAGCCACCATATGGTTGCTGGGAATTGAACTCAGGACCTCTGAAAGAGCAGTGAAATGCTCCTAACCACTGAGCGGTCTCTCCAGCCCCTAGTTGCTTAGTTTAAAGGCAGTTCCTCTCTAGACTGACTAATTGACCTTATTTTACTTTTGTTTCTGTGTGTCTGTGTGCCATGTGTGTGTGGGTGCCTGTGGAGGCCAGAAGAGAGCATTGAATTCACAGGCTGTGTGAGCAGTCTAGCGGGAAGGCTGTAAGGGCAGCCAGTGCTCTTAACTGCTGAGCTCTTTCTCCAGCCCTTTATTTTATATGTTCCCTGTCTATGATTTTGCATTCATGGTGCCAGTGTTATTTTGGCTTCCATTTTTAGAGATCAAGAAAGGAGATTTTCTTAGGACCAAGCTTTGAAGGACTTTCTGTTCTTGAGCTCTGGTTATATCTTTAGCCGGTTTAGAGTCCTACGTCAGTCAATTCCCTTATTTCATTTCTATATGAAATGAAGCAAACTGCAACAGGCATATAGCCGTAGGTTTCCAATGCTAGGTGTTGGTTGACCAAGTCAGTAGGCTTGGTATTTATTCTCTAATCAAGCCCCATGGGTGTGGCTGTTGCCAGGTACAGGTGAACTCTGGCCTATGAGTCAAATGTGGGCTACAGCTTGCTTTTGAAAGTCTCACAAACTGAGAATGATTTTATATTCTTAGAAGGCTGTAAAAAAAATTAAGAGAATGAGAAGGCAGGTCACAAACTGGAAGAAAATATTTCACTAGAGACAGAGTTCTTAAATTCAACAGTAAAATAAAAAGTCTAATTGAAAGACAAAAAAAAAATAAGGCTAGGATTGTGAATGGCTCATGGGTAGAATGTGGGCTGGCCATGCCTTCAAGCCCTAGCACCATTGCCCCCAAAGTCAAAAGACCTAAACAGACACCTCAGCCTGGAAGATACACAAGTGGCAAGGAGGCTTATGGGAGGGAACATGATCAACATGAGGTCCTGTGGGAATTGCAAATTAAAACAAGCTTACTAGAGTCACCAGACTCCAAACTGACAGCATCAGGTACAGCAGAGATGGGGAGCAATAGCAGTTCATGGCTGGTGTAAATCCAAAATGGGCAGAGCCGCTTTTGAAGACGTTTGGCAGCTTCTTAAAGAGTCATACTCTTAGAGCATGAGCCAGCAGTCACACCGTAGGGTGAATGAGGTGCATGCATGGAAACTTATGGTACTTGTTCACTTTTGCTGTGAACTTAGAACTTGGAAAATATGAAGAATTTCTTGTTGTTGTTTGTCTTTAGTTGGTCTGGGAGTAGAGATCAGTGGTGAAGCCCATGCTTAGCCCACTTGAGGCCCTGGGTTTGATTCCCACTTCTGCACAACAAAGAATAATGTACAAAAGTAGACTGTATTTATGTAGGGGATGAAGTGCTCAGGGTCTCAGGTCCCTGTCCAATCCTCTGTCCCTCCTGTGTGCTGAGCCTCTAATTACAAAGCTGTTTTTTTGAATTTTGTTTTGTTCACAGGTATATGAATGACCTAAAGCTGCAAATAAAGACGGAGAAAGAACGGTGCCAACTGGGAGCAGGGCAAGGATGCCAATTCCTCCTCCCCCACCCCCGCCTGGTCCTCCCCCACCTCCCACTTTTAATCAGGTAGGTACTTACTCTTTCCACTAGGCTATCTTCACACCTTAAAGTAAGCTGGTAGACTTCTCATATTGCTTTGTTCTTTTTCTTTTCAATCCTTTGTTTAAAACTTCTAGATTTTCTTCCCTAATCACTCTTTTACTCTGAGCTTGCTCTTTAGTTCTATTTTTTTTAAACTTCTTTTATATTTACATGTATGAGTGTTTTGCCTGCATGTGTATATGCACCACATGCATGCCTGGTACCCCAGGAGGCAGGAGAGGGCTTTGGGATCCTCTGGAACCGGAGTTAGAAGCAGCTGTATGGCTAGACATGGGTACTGGGAACTGAACCTTGGTCCTCAGAAAGAGCAGCAAATGCTCTTAACCACTGAGCCACCTTTCCAGCACCCACCCTTCTTGTGGTTTTGTTTTTGTTTGTAACAGGGTCTTGCTGTATAGTCCAGGCTGGCCTTAAACTTTAGGTTCCCTTGCCTCATTCCCCTAAGTGCTGGGATTACAGATATGAGATAACCATGTCCACTAATTGTTTTTAATACCATCTATAATTTTAATATATATTTGAACTTTTTGTTTTGTTTTGTTTTTTGTTTCTCAAGATAGGGTTTCTCTGTATTGCTTTTGGAGCCTGTCGTGGAACTAGCTCTGTAGTCCAGGCTGGCCTCGAATTCACAAAGATCCACCTGCCTCTGCCTCCCCAGTGCTAGAACTAAAGGTGTGCACCCAGCTTATATATTTGAACTTTAACTAGCATTTTGAGACAGGATCTCTCTGTGTGACTAGCTGAGAACTTGCTATGTAGGTCAGACTGGCATCTAACTTTGAGTACAATCCTTCCGGATTGTAGGCCTGAGCAGTTGCCCAGCTGCACCCTGGATTCTTGCAGCTACTAGGAGACAGACTTAATAGCAGTCAGTTTAGCAGATAGAAAACACACAAGCCTGTGCCTCAGCTAGTTTGGACTTCTGAGAGGTCCTCTGAGGACCACTCTGACATGTTTTGTTCCCTGTCCTGCTTCATTCCAAATGGAGATTTGGATACATGGAGTTGGGGCTAGTGTTCTCCCTAAGCTAACTATCCTACAAACAGGTTAGTCTCATTTCTCTGACACCCTTGAGAGAGGGGATGAGGGTTTGAGGTGGTGATTTCCTGCTGCCATTTCATCTCCTGTCTTATTCCCAGTCAGTTCATTAAACGTTTGATTTTGTTTTTTTTATGTGTATGGGTGTTTTGCCTGCATGTGTCTGTGTACCATGTGAATAGAATACCTGGTGTCCTCAGAGACCAGAACTATCAGATCCCTTGAAACTGAAATTATAGATGATGAACTACCATGTGGGAGCCAAGATTGAACCCAGGTCCTCTGGAACATCAGCAAGATCTCTTTTTCCAGCTCCAGTCCATTTTATTAATTTTTTAAAACGTGCATTGATGTTTTGCATTGGTTGTGGGGTTTTCTAGAACTGGAGTTATAGATAGTTGTGAGCTGCCATGTGGGTCCTGGGAATTGAATGCAGGTTCTCTGGAAGAGCAGTCTGTGCTCTTAACCATCGAACCATCTCTCCAGTCCATTTTAAAGCCAAGTCTATCATGTTTTACACTCTATCAAGAAAGGGAAAAAAGTAGGGTGTGGTAAGGCATACCTTTAATTCCACCACTTGAGAGGCAGAAACAGACAGAGCTCCAAGTTTTGGGACTCAGAAGAGCAACACTTTGCTACTCTTACAAAGGACCTGAATTTAGTTTCTAGCACCCACGTGGTGACTCTTATAACCCTAGTTTCAGGGGATCTGATAACCCTTTTTACCTCCTTGAGTGCCAGATACATAAGTAATGAACATCATACATATATACAGGCAAAACACTCATATACATTAAATAAAAATAAATCTTTTAAAAAGATTTCTAAAATTTTTAATTATGTGTTTATGTGTGGGTATGTGCACATGAGTGCAATTGCTTGCAGATGTCTGAGGCATTGGATCCCCCTGGAACTGGAATTGTAGAAAGATGTACGCTGCATGTGGATGCTGGGGATTCCTTTGCAAGAGCAGTGGCCACTTTTAATCACTGAGCCATCTTTCCAGCTCCAAGCATAACTTTAATCCCAGCATTCAGGAGGCAGAGACAGGCAGATTTCTGAGTTTGAGGCCAGCTTGGTCTACAGAGTGAGTTCTAGGACAGCCAAGGCTACACAAGCTGTGCAAGTCTGACTACCTGAGTTCAGTCTCTGAACCCCAAAATGGAAGGAGAGATCTAGCTTGGGGAAGTTGTCCTCTGACCTCTGAACATTCAACGTGGATGCACACAGTAATGACAAATAACATTTTAAAGTTTAAAAAATTGGTTTCAGCTGGGTGTTGGTGGCACACCTTTAATCCCCACACTCAGGAGGGAGAGGCAGGAGGATCTCTGTGAGTTTGAGGCCAGTCTGTCCTACAGAGTGAGTTCCAGGACAGGCTCCAAAGCAATACAGTGTTACAAGTAGTTTTCCTGCAAGCCTGGTCCCAGAGTCTCATCAGCCCCCAAATAACACACAGAGACACTGTATTAGATATAAAGCCGTTGGCCAGTGTTTCTTATTGGCTAGCTCTGTCTTAAATAATAACCCATTATTATTAATCTAAGTATTTATACGTGGTTGTGGCTCACTGGAGAAAGAGTCTGGACTTCTTCCTCTGAAGTCCCTACATCTTGAATTCCCACTACTACATCTGCCAGAATCTTCCTTATCTCCTAGTCTCGCCTATCTTGCATTCCTATTGGCCAACAGGGCTTTATTCATTAACCAATAAGAGAGACATATTTACAGAATGACATCTATCAATACAGAGAAACCCTGACTCAAAAAACAAAACAAACAAAAAATTTGTTTCAGTGTCTGCTAATCATGTGCCCTTAACTTTCTAGAACTGTTATTTCCTCAGTTTTGGAGTAAGACTATTAAGGTCTCCTGTATAACGTTGTATAGAAGACAAAGAAATAGGAAGGTGGCAGGTTATGCTGGTTAAGATTCTGCAGCATCAGCATTGGGCTGTGCATTCTTGTTTGACCAATTACTAATTGAATGATCATCGGAAACTCTTCCGCTTCTGATCCAGACTTTTCAAATGTGGATAATGATAATCAGACCTTTCTGTAGGAATGTTTCAGGTTTGTTTTTTTTTTTTTTTAATATTTATTTATTATGTATGCATCATTCCTCCTGCATGTGCCCCTGCAGGACAGAAGAGGGCACCAGATCTCATTACAGACAGTTGTGAGCCATTATGTGGGTTCTGGGAATTAAACTCAGGACCTCTGGAAGAATAACCAGTGTTCCTAATCCCTGAGCCATCTCTCCAGCCCTGGAGTGTTTCAGGTTTTAAATGAGATAATCTAAGTAATACTTAGCACAATTCAGGAAGTATAATGTGTGCCCAGTAAAAGCTTGTGCTGGTGATGGTGCCATGTTAATATGTTCAAGACATAAATTCACAGTTAGTCTTGCCCTCCTCTCAGAAGCTTGTGAATAGGAGGGAGTTCTGTGTCCTTCACAGAAGGAAGCGGGGAATATTGAAGAATGGTGATACACTTGGCATGTGTGCTGAGGCGTCTTACAGAATCCCTTGGCTTAAGTCATTTATTCCAAGCTTGTGATGAAAGGATCTCTTTGGGGTAGACTTACATTTCCTTCTTCCTCCAGGCAAATACAGAACAGCCCAAACTCAGTAGAGATGAGCAGCGGAATCGAGGAGCCCTCTTGCAAGACATTTGCAAAGGGACCAAACTGAAGAAGGTGACCAATATTAATGATCGGAGTGCTCCTGTCATCGAGAGTGAGTATAAGCTTTTGTCCTATGGTAGAGTCAGGGTCCAGGATTAGAAGACCTCTGGACCATCACGTTTTGTATTCTCTTCAGTGTGCCCTGGATATCTTGCCTTTCTTTCCAGCTGTGGAGTTGAACATTACAAAGGTTCTCCTTAGGTTCTCCTTAACTCTTTTCAGTTAAAACTCCTCCCTTGCTGCTGATAGTGTTTTTCAGGGCTCACCCATGGCTATTCTCCCAGGAGACCACCACATTCCTGGAAGCATCTGAAACCAAGGATGGCTTTACAGTTGCTGAACACGTCCATTCTTGTAGGCCTCGGGAAAGTTTGCACCTCATCCCCCTGAGCCACTAGCCTTATGGGGAAGAGAGTCTGGAGAACTCTGTCAACCATATCTATTTCAGTTGAAATGTTCTCCTTCACACTAAGTTAAAAAGGCTCTTCCTGCCCTTTGTCCTTTCAGTTTGCCGATTTTTGTAAACCCCCTCATGAAGGCACGCAGCTGCAGGGCCTAGGTGTTCTCGGGTCTGTTTGTGTGTTTTGGTGGTAGTGCTGCTGCTGGCGCTGCCACTTCTTGATAGAGATGTAAAAGCAAGATTGGTACGTTTGTAAATTAGAGCCTAGGCAGAGGAGTCATTTCTTCTCAGAGCATGGGAAATGAAAACCTTCCTTATACCTTCCAGAGCCCAAGGGGGGTGGCGGTGGCTATGGCCCAGGAGCTGCTGCTTTGCAACCCAAGGGAGGTCTCTTTCAAGGAGGAGTGCCGAAGCTGCGGCCTGTGGGAGCCAAGGATGCTTCAGGTATGAGAAATTGTCTCTTGGGCTATCTTCCAACTGTGTCTGTTTTTTTGTTGTTGTTGCTTCAAGTGTGCCGTCTTAGGTTGAAAACTGAGGTTGAGGGTGGGAGGAAGGAGAAAATGAGAATAGTTGCAAAGCTGAGGGAGAAATAAAAATGTGTTTAACTTAGGTAAAGAAAATGTGAGTTACTGTTGTGGCGTTTGAGTGCAGTCCCTGCAAGGGTAAGGCAGGAAAATCACAAGTTTGAGGTCAGACTGAACCACAAAATGAGAGCCTGCCTGAAAGAAATAAAGATTTTAAGAATTGGTAGTGTGTATAAGACCTAAATTCAGTCCCTAGTACTGCATAAACCGGGCTAGGTACACTTGTGTAATCCCAAAATTTGGGATGTAGAGGCAGGAGACTTTCAGACATTCAAGGTCATCCTTGGCTACATAATGAGTCTGAGGCCAGTCTAGGTAACAACATTCAGAATACACACATACACACACACACACACACACAGAGAGAGAGAGAGAGAGAGAGAGAGAGAGAGAGAGAGAGAGAGAGAGAGAATAGATTACTGTTCAGCCCTGAAGAAGAAATAAATATTATTTGTGACATGGACAGACCTAGAGGACATTGTAAAATAAGCCAGGAACAGAAAGACAACCTGGACATGGTGGTGTGCACCTTTAATCTCAACATTTAGGAGGCAGAGGCAGGTGAATCTCTGAGTTCACAGGTCATCCTGGTCTACAGAGGAGTTCCAGGACAGCCAGGGCTATATAGGCACTCCCCCACCCAAAATAAAAAGGTAAAATAAATAAACATAATTCAGTTCAAATGTGTTCAGCCATGTCAACAGGCTCTGAGTCTGAAACCTGATTAAAATACAGAACTAGGGCTAGCTATGTAACTCAGTAGTAGAGCAAATGCTTTGCATACATGAGGTTCTGAGCTTGATCCCAGGGCCACAGGAAGGCAAACAAACCAAGAACTTTGCCAGTACTTTTTCAGCTGTTGTGTAAGATGCACTGAGGAGGCTGAGTCGAGCAGAGACCTGATCAATACATACTTAACTGTTAATACAGTGTTGTCTGTGTATTTGTAGAGACTCTAGCTGGTAAGCCAGCCCTACAAGTCCCCAGTTCTCGAGCTGCTGCTCCAAGGCCTCCAGTGTCTGCAGCCAGTGGGCGTCCTCAAGATGATAGTGACAGCAGCCGAGCCTCCCTCCCAGAACTGCCCCGGATGCAGAGACCCTCTTTACCGGACCTCTCAAGACCCAATACCACTAGCGGTACAGGCATGAAACACAGCTCCTCTGCTCCTCCCCCACCACCTCCAGGGAGGCGTGCTAATGCACCCCCTACTCCTCTGCCTCTGCACAGCAGCAAAGCCCAGGCCTACAACAGGGAGAAACCCTTGCCTCCAACACCTGGACAAAGGCTGCACCCCAGTCGAGAAGGACATCCTGCTCCACCCCCTGTAAAGCCACCTCCTTCCCCTGTGAATATCAGATCGGGACCAAGTGGCCAATCTCTGGCTCCTCCCCCCCCACCTTACCGCCAGCCGCCTGGGGTCCCCAATGGGCCCTCAAGCCCCACTAATGAGTCAGCCCCTGAGCTGCCACAGAGACATAATTCTTTGCATAGGAAGACACCAGGGCCCGTCAGAGGCCTTGCACCTCCTCCACCCACCTCAGCCTCCCCCTTTTTGTTGAGTAACAGGCCACCTCCCCCAGCCCGAGACCCTCCTAGTAGGGGAGCAGGTAAGTGTTTAGAAGCTTTTTTTTTCCCTCTTTGCTTTTTCTAAGAGCATCTCTTCAGTGATTAGAATACAAAGTCATGTATTCACCCAGTTTATTGGGTGCCTTTATAGAAAGGTAATTGTTAGGGAACAGATAAAAACTTGTTGTGGATAACCTAGTAAATATATGTCAATAATGGTATACAGTATGTTTAAAGAAATACAAACCAGGGAAGAATAAACGCTAGGGGCAGGATGGTGCTGTTCTGAATTGGGGGAGAGCTTAGAGTGAGAAGGACTACATGCTGACAGTGAAGAAGACAGCAGGGAGGTCATTGTGAAAGAACTAGAATGAGTGGGAGGGATGGGGAGTGGCAGGCCGCAGGCGGGAAAGCTAAGCGGGAAAGCTAGATCTCCCTGGGAGAAGGCTTGAGGATGAACTAATCCCACAGCCAGTGTATTGTTTTGTTTTTGAGACAAGGTCTCTATGTATATCCTTGACTGGTCTGGAACTTGCTGTGTAGACCAGACTGGCCTTGAACTCATAGAGATCCATCTGCCTGTGCCTCTGGAATGCCAGGATCAAAGATGTGCACTAGTGTACCTGGCTCTAAATATATTTTAACTAAAAACAAATAAACAAAAAACAAAACAAAACAAAAAAACACATGCTGGCCAGGCATAGTGTGGCACACCTTTAATCTCAGCACTCGGAGGCAGAGGCAAGTGGATCTCTCTGACTTTGAGGTCAGCCTAGTCTACGAAGTAAGTTCAGGACAGCCAGGGCTCTGTTACACAGAGAACCCTGTTTTGAAAAACCAAAACACAAGCAAACAACAACAAAACAAAAAACACATGCTTTTTGCTTGGTGGCTGGAGAGATGATGGCTCAGTGGTTAAAAGTACTCTTCCAGAGGTCCTGGGTTGTTTCCCAGCACCACACATTGACTCACAGCTGTCTGTAATGTCAGTTTCGAGGGATCTGATGCTCTCTTCTGGTCTGCAAGAGACTATGTGTGCATCAGGCACACATGGTACACAGGTATTTATGTAACCAAAACACCCATGCACATAAAATAATAAAAAAATTTAAAAAGCAAAAAAACCCCATGAGCTTGTTAGAAAAACTCCCAAGATAAAGGAAGTGGCCCTCTGTGTGCAGTGCTGTGCAGAGGTCAGTGGGACACAGAACTGACAGTTGACTGAGCGTGAAAGGACCCGTCTGTGCAGCATTGGTGGGAAAACGGTAGGTGAAAGAGGAAGCAAATTGGGATAGGGTCAAGAATTAAGGAATGGGTACCAGTTGTGTTGGAGGCTGAAGCAGGAAGCTGGCTTGAGCCAAAGGACTTTGAGTCCAGCCTGGCCTGGGGAGGGAAACTGTGTGTGGCCAAAACTTAAGAAAGCAATGTAGGAACCTTGCTGAAGGCCTAGGTGAGTGTATATGTGTGCAGATAGAATGTTTGCCAAAGCGCTGCTTTTCCCAAGGACCTGAGCTTGCCCCCCAGCATCCATATCACAACCTCCTGTACCTAGTTCCAAGGGATCTGTTGCCCTCTTCTGGCCTCCATGGGCACCTGTGCACACATACAGATGTGCAGGCACCCACACATATACGTAAATGAAAATAAATACAAAGAAAAGGCCCATCCCCGAGCTCTGCTGCCTGGTGATGTTTCATGTAGATTGACGCTCTCAGTAGCAGTCTTTTCTTTTAGGGGTACCCCAGACAACAACCTGATAACATTGATGACATGGTATTTCCCTGCCCAGAGCCATAAGTAGCTCAGGATTCTGCAAAGTTCAGGCTTAAAGAAAAAAATTGCATGGGACAGGTCAGGATACAGCTGGAGAGATGGCTCACTAGTAGTTGAGTGTTGGCTACTCTTCCAGAGGATCCAGGTTCAGTTCCCTACACCCAGTTCCAGGGGAAACTGAAGAATACTCTTTTTTTTTTTTTTTTTTTTTTTTTTTTTCTTCTCTTTTTTTCCAAAAGTTTATCTGTGACTTTGGAACCTGTCCTGGAACTAGCTCTGTAGACCAGGCTGGCCTCTAACTCACAGAGATCCGCCTGCCTCTACCTCCCGAGTACTTGGATTAAAGGCATGTGCCATGAACGTCTGGCTTGAATACTCTTTTCTGATCTCTGCTGGCACTAGGTGTGCATATGGTTTATACACACATGCAGGCAAACACGCATACACATAAGTAAATCTAAAAAATAAAAGTTTTTAACTTGGAGATTTTAAAAGCCTTTGTTTTTAAAGTCACATCTGTGTGTGTGTGTGTGTGTGTGTGTGTGTGTGTGTGTGTGTCTGTGTGTGCGCGTGCGGGCACGCACGCACATTGGTGTTTTGCCTGCATGTATGTCTGTGTGAGTGTCAAATTCCCTAGACTGGCATTATAGACAGGTGTGAGCCACCACATTGGGTGCTGGGAATTGAACCCAGGTCCTCTGTAAAAGCAGCCAGTGCCTTTTGATGCTGAGCCATCTCTCTAGCTAAAGGACTCTTAATGTGAACTGTCTCATATCTTTCTAATCCCATTCTTTAATAAAAGCAGAGGAAACAAAATGCACATACCTGCTTTTCATGTTATGAGTTGTATTCTGTCTAGTAGTCATGAGCAGCATGAGCCAAGCAGAGGCCTCAGCCTTCTGCCCCCTCAGTAACCAGAGCACCAGTCCTGAGTAGCCCACAGTTTTTGAGTAGGGACTGAATTTGTTGTGTAATATTGGGCAAATGCCTCTGAGTCTTGAGGGCTTTTGTTTTTGTTTTTTGTTTGTGTGTTTGTTTGTTTTTTCATCTAATGAACTTGTTTTATGTAAAGGGTATGTAAATAGTTCATGAACTTATTTCTATTAAATCACATTATGACACTATTATATGATAATTGCATATTTGTTTCTGTGGAGACTGAGCAGGAAGCAAGTTCACAACCAGCCTGAGTTCCAGGATAGCCAGAGCTACACAGAGAAACCCTGTTTTGTTACCAAAAAGAAAGAAAGATGAGTACCATTTTTTAAAAAACGGACCTCCCCCCAAACAAAACAAAACAACCCACCATACAGCCCACAACTAAATAAACAAAGAAATGGGGCGGGAGAGAGCAGCAGCAGCTCTGGGAAGGAAAGGTGACCTGAGGTCCTGCCACCCCAGGTATAGCCTGAGTCTCCTTTATTTTCTTTGATTTGTTTGTTTGTTTGTTCTGTTTTTTGAGACAGTTTCTCTGTGTGGCCCTGGCTGTCCTGGAACTCACTCTGTAGACCAGACTGGCCTCAGACTCAGAGATCCGCCTGCCTCTGCCTCTGGGGTGCTGGGAGTGCTGTAAAGGCGTGCGCCACCACTGCCTGTCATTCTATGAGTTTTTTGCAGTCAGTACATACAACAATGAATTTGATCACATTTCCATGCATCTGTATCATTTCTCACACTTGCTCCCTCACTAGCCTCTCCCAGGCTGATTTCTTAGCTCGTGTCTCTCAAACCGTTCTCTCTTTTGCCAGCTCTAGCCCAGTCCTAACTGCTTTGGATTTTAATTGCAGCTCCTCCACCCCCACCACCCATGGTCCGAAATGGTGCCAGGGATGCTCCCCCTCCCCCACCACCTTACCGAATGCATGGGTCAGAACCACCGAGCAGAGGAAAGCCTCCACCTCCACCCTCGAGGACGCCAGCTGGGCCACCCCCTCCTCCTCCCCCTCCCTTGAGGAATGGCCATAGAGACTCCATCACCACTGTTCGTTCCTTCTTGGGTAAGTAGTCTGACCTTGAACACACAGAGGTCCTCCTGCCTCCGCCTCTGGGGTGCTGGGATTAAAGGTGGGCGCCACCACTGCCCTACTAGTAGTTAGTGACTTTGTCTCATAGTTCTAGTGGTGACTTCACTGACTGGTGCCTTAGTTGCCAGATGGCTTCTGTAGATGGAGAGTAGCCCGGAGCAGTAGTCTTTGTTCATATCAGTTCCCCTCCTGACTTTTCCTCAAACTTCTGCATTCATTCCATTGACATTCCTTTCCTTACATGAACAGATTGAGATCAAGTCATCAGAGGTCATGCTAATTTAAAGTTACTCTCAAATCCCCAGAAGAGTCACAGAGACTGTCCTTAGTATTCACATGTGTTCTAGAATTATATATCCACGGAGGGGAGTTCCTTCCTGCTTACTGAAAAGCTCCGGAGGCTTGGGGTAAAGCTCAGTGGTACAGCACCAGCCTAACGTGTACAAAGACCTGGGTTCAGTCCCATAGCACAGAAAGAGCACAGAAAGCCAAACAGGCTTAGCTGATGGAGGCCCTTAGTGTGAGCCCCAGCACCACAAAAACAAGACACACAGAGGCCAGTGCAAGCCAGCTATGTTTTTCTGAGGAAGTCATTTCATTTCTTTGAACTCAACTTTATTATGTACAGAACTGGGAAATTAACTAGGTCAGGAGCATATTGACCAACTTTTCCAAGATTATAAATGTTGAGGTCTCTGCTTAAGAGAATTCACCGTCTAGAATGGAACCATAAGTAAAAGGATATTTGGAGATGCACTGTACATTAGGGGTACCCAGGGTGATGCTTTTGTTGTCTCAGGAACTTTGGTTTGGTGGGGAGACATACAGCAGAACCCACAGCAGATTAGTAAATAGGGAAGGTCCTAAGAAGTCTGTGGGAGGCATGACATAATACCCTTCTGTTTTCTTCACAGATGATTTTGAGTCCAAGTACTCCTTCCACCCTGTAGAGGACTTCCCTGCTCCTGAAGAATATAAGCATCTTCAAAGAGTATACCCCAGCAAAACAAACCGAGGTGCGAGGGGGTGAAGAGAGTGTCCGTGAGTGTGTGCAACATAGAGTTGGTGTATTTTCTGGGGTCAGAATGGGCTTCTGCACATGGAGAGGTCAGCAGGAGGTGATTCTTTCCTTCCTTCCACCAAGTGGATCCTGGGAATTCAGCTTGGGTCAGCAGGCCTGGCAGCAAGGACCCCCTACCAAGCTATCTCATCAGCCCTAGTCCCTGAAGTTAAAGGTTGATGTAAAGAGCCGGTCTCATTTCAGAAGTGCTATTTAGAGTCTGGTATGTGAGCTGAATGTCTATGGTTCTTATTTCTCCAGCTGCCCGTGGAGCACCACCTCTGCCACCTATTCTCAGGTGAAGCCTGGCTTGGTCCTGCTCCTCAGGAAAAAGATGGACCTCCTCTTCTCAGATGGTCCCCCAACCCCTAGAACCTGCATGAGAGCTCCTACAGTGTTTCTCCAGTGAGACCAACCCTAGACTCTAAGCATCCTCCCGGCCCAGCTCCATCTATGCATCTCATCTCTGGACTTGGTGATTGGATTCCTTCTGTTGGCTATAGGGTTTCAAACCCTGTATCCAGCCCTCTTCCAGCAAGCCCTGCTAGCCAGAAGAGAAGAGAGCTCCCATGTCTCCTTCTTTCTTCCAGGGAAAGGTGCCTTGTTATGGTGAATAGACTCACATTGGGCAGGATGGAGAATGGACCCCTGTCTGCTGTTATTCACCAAGCGGGGATTGTGGTGTGTGCTTATATTCCGTAGTTTAGGAGGTTGCTATGGCCAGGACTGCTGAGGAAAGGGTACTTGTGTGAAGCAGGAAGGGGCTTTGCAGAGAAGTGATCTGTTTTAAAGGTCAGGTTATAGAAAGGATGAGGAAATGGAGCTTCTTCATTTTTAAGAGTGTTTTGGTTTTGTTCTCATCTCTCTTCTCCCCATTCCCAAGGGGTGAGTTGTACATACACTAAATACTAATCAGTTGAACTAAACAATAAAAGAAGGGCATGAATTAAACTGAGGATCATTCCAGAGCTAGTCAGCTCATCTGCAGCTAAGGGGCCAGGGCCATCTGAACCCCCTGGGGAACCCTGCCCTTCCCCAGGGTGCTAGGCTGAAGGATGTCCTTTCCCGGTCCCTCAAGGGAAGAGTCACTTTTTATTTGGTGCATTATTAATATTCCCAATTCACAAACTCCAGAAACTTTCTATAAGAGGTGAAAAGAGGGGGCCAGGACCTTACTTAGTTTTGTCTGATTAACCATGAAGTGGTCAGCAGCCTTTAGAGTCCTTTAGCCTTACAGAATGCTCCAGAGAGACTAAGGCAAGAAGGAGGCACTTCATGGGAGGGCCTGGCTCTGAGGGGCTACGAAGGTCTCAACAGCCTGCTCATACCCATCTCACACCCCTCTGATACAGCAGGTTCTTCCTGTTTCCTCTGCCACCCTACCTTCCCAAGACTGCAGGGGCTAAGAAAAGGGCACGGAAATATGTGGGACCTTTGGGGGCACATTCAGAGTCTCCTAAACCAAGAAGCACAAAGACTTAGGGCGGTATGCCTCAGTCCATCAGTGGGTCTTCCTTGGCAGCCAGCAATACATTGTTCTTTGTCTTCCAGGTTGTAGGTAAACAGCACAGGAAAAATGGTTGTTTCAATTGAGGTTGGTTTATTGGACAGTGAGTGTCTTTTCTCCAACAGCAGTTGGTACACCAGGGACTCCACAAACCTAAAAGTTGGTTTCCTATAGTCATAGCCATGGGCAAAGGCTGCTCAACCTTTAATGACCATGGGGAGACCAGGTGGTTCTTTGAATCAAATAGGGGAAGCTAGTTAAAAACTTTCAGATAAGTTACAGGGTTAAACTGTCATAGGGACCTTTCTTTTATTATTATTATTATTATTATTATGAAGACTATTATTATTTTCTAAGACAGGGTTTCTCTGTATAGCCCTGGCTGACCTGGAACTCGCTCTGTAGACCTGGCTGGCCTCAGACTCAGAGATCCACCTGCCTCTTGCCTCTGCCTCCCAGGTACTGGGATTAATGTCGTACACTATTACACCCAGTTTATAGGGACCTCTCTAATCTAGTGGAACATAGGCTAAGGATCTGTGTGTGATGTCAGGTGAAACCCAAACCTTCCAGTGCTGGTGAAGGTAGGCTTAACCTGGTTTATTTATTTATTGGGTTGTTACCCTTTGCCATCTATCTCCTGGACCACTTTGACTCTTGGGACAGGCAGTGGTTAGATCTCACCAGACTTCTAATTGTTTACTGTTTATCGTTCTTCTCAAATACCTTAGCAGTCACCTCCCAGGAGCATCCCCAGCATCCTAAAGTGAACAGAACTAAGAGAGGGAGAAGATCTGATAGTGCAAGAGTTCCAGGGTAGATGCTAATTGCTGAACTTTGACTGTGAAGTTTTCCCATTTGTTTTTGAAATGGGAGTTGATGCCTTTTGTACAATGTTATCGAAGTGTATAGAGATTTCCCCTCACTGAAACATAGAACATCAGAATATATATAATATAGCAAATAAAGCCAAACCCCAGCTTTTCACTGGGGCTGATATCTTCCTCAACATGACCTGTGTCCTTCATATTCCCCAAATTTGGACTGTGTCATGTGGGTATTGATTATATTTTCATTGTCTTTGCCTGATGGAACAATATCCAAAAAAGGTCTGGGTTTAGATCAGCATAAGAGCATGTTGGTGACACAGCACCTAATTTAAATGTCTTTGCCTTATACATCATTTGGTCCTGCTTTAATAACAGATTTATTACCATGTATATTTGCTACTGAAGTTGGGAATGTGATCCTCAAATCTGTTGGTCTATTTTTTATGTTGTACAAAACTTGTAATACAGGTTTAAGATGGGCGGGCGGACGGGCAGCAAGAGCACTGAAAATTTTCCCCTTTGGAACTGCTGTTTTTATCCGCTTATGGCAATGTTGTCTCTTCAGTGGAAGATTGGGTGGTCTCACATTGAGGCTGTAGCCTAATCCTTTTAATTCCCTTGTCCCCTCCCAAAGAAAGAGAAGAGACATTGCCCAGCTAAGCAGCAAGATGCTTTGTCAACAGCTCTCCTGTGGATTTTGTGGGGCTTTTCCCTAATAGGAAGCACTAGTAGCTGTTTCTTACTGCCCTACCTGAACTGGGCAGTGGCCTCTGGTTTTGGGATGAGCTAGATGCCCCTCTTTCCCTTTCTCTAGTCACCAAACCTGGACCAAAGAACTTTGATATTCCAGGTGTGGTTTTCTCTCTCCTGGGGATTTACCACAGCTGCTGCAGAGCCCTGCCATTTTCACAGCCTAGACCAATTGTGTGAGCAGCTAGGGCCATCCCAGCCGATGGATCTGTCCCTGCCCCCTTCCCCAGCAAAGGCAAGGAAACTAGTCACTGGCATTGCACTAGGAGAATCCCCTTACCCAGTGGCTTCCCAGCTTGAAACCCAGATTTACCTCCAGAGAGAGGCGAGGGGGGGGGGGATAACTGTAAATAGGTTTGCTACAGAGAAACTCAGGGTTGGGGTGTTTTAATTCTCCTGATCACTTGAAACGATCTGTAGGCTGAATGCTTATGGGAGTGTGGCAGAAATGTGACTCCAGGGTCCATCGTTCTGTGGGTCTCTGGGGTGGGTGGAGCGTAGGGCATCAGAGGCTCCGATATAGCACCGCACTGTGCGGTCTGTCCTTCTGGAAACCCAAACCTACAATCAGCTGCAAATCAGGTTCTTCACATTCCAGCTGTCATTCTTCTCTCCCTGTGACTTCAGTCCCTAGTCCTGTGGTCAGGGTGACTGTTAAGCCACCCAATTTTAGGGAATGAGAGGGAACAGGAGACCATTATAATTCTGCCTTCAAGACTCATTTCTTGAACTTAAATGAAATAAAATGATAACCGCCTTCAAAATCATGTGCGGAAACAAAAAACAAACAAACAAACCCCACCGATTACCATTTATCTGAAGGAAGGGTTCGGTTCCACTCAACTCCACGTTCATTGTGCCTTTACTTGTGTTAGATTTCTGTGCTTTCTTCCTCCCCCTCTATGAAGTAATTAAAATCTTCCTTGGTAACTGCTGTTTCCTTTCTGCTCTTGTCTCTTACAGCTCGGTGGGTTTCTCTGTTGATTGTCTTAAGTCTTACTCCTCTGGTGGCAGAGGGGCTTAGCACACCCTCTTTTTCGTGTCTGGTCTTTGTCATTTTCCAGTTTCCAGCTTGGAAGTCACGGTCAACACTAAACAAAAGACCAGAGTGATGTGCGTGTGCGTGTGTGGCCATCTGCATGTGGATCAGTTCCTTTAAAAAATAATTTATTTTTTGATTCATTCTGGAGTTTTTATTCAGGTTTCAGTGCTTCTCCATAATAGCATGAATCCCCACATCCCTGGTCCCCTACATAAAATGTATAATCTGGTCTCAGGTTGAATTCCTTGGTCCATTTCTTTCTTCTGGATGCTCTGTGCAGTTTAATTAAACCATAAAAACAAAAAAACAAACAAATATAAAAGAAAACTACAAATATAAAAGAAAACTGTGTATTTTTGTCATGAGTAATACTGCCTCAAGTAATGGCAAGGAGAGAGGACGGAACCCGTATGTCTCCTCTTCTGGGAAAGTGTGGCAGTTGGATTCCAGGTTCCCCCACGGAAAGACGTGTGGATGGATGGGCATGGCAAAAGCACCTGCAGCTCTCTGAAGGGTTTCTCTGCCTGGGTGTGTTAAAAATCACCTTTTGGCCTTGCTGACCAGTGATTCTGTTTTGTATTTGCTGCTTAACTCCCATTGCCTTGATCTCAAAGAGCCTTGGAGGCTCCCTGTCCTTGTGTTTCAGATCTCTGAGTCTGTCTCCCTGTGCCTGTGCTTTGAGGCCTATTCTCAACCAGATGTAGGAGAAAGGGGGTGGGGGCAGGGCCTTTGGGATGTCAGGAGTCCATTTGTATGTGGGTGCTGTCTGTTTCTCTTTACTGCTTTTTGGTTGGTTGGTTCCATGGAACTCTCTGTAGACCAGGCTGGCCTCGAACTCAGAGTTCAGACTGCTTCTGCCTCCCGAGTGCTGGGATTAAAGGTACATGCTACCACCACCATTTTCACGTCTAGAAATAGACATTACTGAGTGTGTCTTTTGTTTTTTATTGTTGTTTTTGCTCTTTTCAAGACAAGGTTTCTTTGTATTGCTCTCACTGTCTTGGAACTCAGTTTGTAGACCAGGCTGGCCTTGAACTCACAGAGATCCACCTGCCTTTGCCTCCCTGAGGGCTGGGGTCAAAGTTCTGTAACACCACATCTTCACTGCTTTCTTGATGGTTTTCTTGAACTTTGACTTTAGGTGTTATAATCCAACCAGGCTTGTCACTGTGGTCAGCTGACAGGAACTAACCAATCCACTAAGATTGCCATGTATCACTGCTGGCAGAGTCCCCTCCCTGCTGCAGTAAAGTGGGTGGGTGTAGAGATCTAGCTCACATAATGTAGATAGAAAAACCTGTTGGGGGAGGGTTAATACCACAGTGCTGGATTCCTGATGATTTGACCCATTGTTGTTATTAATATGATTAATAAACTATTGATTTTATTGTTCTTCCTCACTTAATAACCTGCAAATGGAGCTTGCTTAAATGGCCCTCAGCTTCCTAACCCTGTAAATTCTCTCACTGGGTCAGGTTTGCTGGTCTGTGTGTGTCCCCTTACACACACTCAGAAGATGCCAGACAGGTCTTTCCAGTGTGCTATGGTTCCTGCTCTGTGATAGTGACACTGTGTTAGGTGATAAGAGCATTCCTTGCACACTAGTGATTACTGAGGCCCAGCTGTGCATGCTGGGGACGAGCCTCTCAAGTGTTTCCTGGCCCCAACCATGAACTGTACCTTACAGGAAGGAAGCTGCTTTTCTCTGGCTTCCCAGTACTCTTGCCAATGGTAAGAGGATTAAAATGTCAACCTCAGGATCCTGACCGCTCCAGAGAATAATTATAAGAAGGGTTTCTTTAACCTTTGATACCACTGATGCCCAGTCTGAACTGTTTACACATAATTTATTCTGCTAGGTTTACGGCTGTGAGATTTAAAGGACTATATATGTTACCCAACCATGAAAATCATTCATGTAAATAGTGGACATGAGCGTGACAGAATGTCCTTTCCATGGCTTCACTTGGCAAGCATTTATCATGTACTTTATAGCAGAACTCTACACACGAAGATAACTAAGACGTGGTCTTTGCCTTCAAAGACAAAGTAGTAGATCATAGGAGCCTGTGCAGGGTATTAGAAGACTTTCATAGGAGTTGACCAGGAAACACATTCCAGCCAAGAAACAGTGAGTACAAAGGTACAGGAACTGGTGTGTGCGAGGTTATTGGAGGAAAAGCCTCCAGCGGAAACCTTTTACATGTTAGTCCTGCCATTCTGCTTGCACAGAGGTCATTTACTGTTGCAGGCTTTTCTTGAGCTGATGCCTTTCTTTTTTCTTTTTCTTTCCTTTTTTTTTTTTTTTTTTTTTTTTTTTAAATCTGGTGAGTGCCTTCTTAGGCTGTAAAGCGCATATTAAGCACTTAGAGCTTCTCTGCTTTCTTCTTGTAACTGAGGTAGGTCATGGGCTGTGGTCTCCGAAGCTTACTCAAATACATTTCTATTTCAGATGGTGTGGGTAGGTTTTAGGTCCTCAAGTTATAGACGTGTGACAAGGTGGTCTCTTAAGTTCCCTTGTCCTAATAAGAGAAATGCCGTCGGGGAGCAAAGCCTCCTTTCTGTGGTATTTCCCTAGACATGGCAGCTTGTTTTCTTTTGGAGATCTTAGCTGCTAGAAAACCTAACAAAATGTACCACCTCACCATCTTGTCCTGTTTAGAACCCACCTCTCTTATCCTCCAGGATTAAGTAGTCAAGAGCTTTGGCTGCTGTCATTAGAATGCAAATACCAGCCCTTCCACACACATTAGTTATATGACCTAGGGCAAATTTACTCAGACCCTCTGCTTTAGTTTCCTTATCCACTGCCTAGGTTGCTTGTAAAGACTAATTAAGGTGATAACTCAGCCTTTACACACTTAGGGACTCATTGGCTCCTGGTAAGAGTGGTGACCACTTGAAATTAACTGAGTTAACCAATGGTTATGATGTTGCTTTCCTATTCCTAGCTTTATGTCTTTTATTTGATATGGGAGAATAAAAGATATATTTTACAGCCAGGTGTGGTGGCACACTCCTTTGATCCTAGCACTTGGGAGGCAGATGCAGGCACATCTCAAAGTTCTAGGCCAGCCTGATCTACAGATCGAGTTCCAGGACAGGTAGGGCTACACAGAGAAATCCCTGTCTCAAAACAAAAACAAACATAAAATTTACAGTCACCTAGAACTGGGATCTGGACTTTAAAGGAACCTGGCCTACAAATGACTGCTCTAATTTATATTTTTCATTAAATGCTCAGCTTGATGCTCCTATAAATGTCTTCCCTGGCCTCTAAACCAGTGTTTGGCCATAAAAGATATTCAAATTAAAGGGACATAATTCTGTTCCCTATGATGTGTAGTTAATGTTAAGAAGGCACACAGAATATATTACTTTGAACAAAACAAAATTGCACATTTAGTATTGGTCTTGTTTCTCACTTTTGGAGTGCAAGTCAACAAATAATGAGATGATGTCAGTTTATTTATATTGGTTGACCAAAAAAGCCTTGGTTCAAGTCATCAGCCTTTTGCCACTGAGAATGCTGTAAACCTATGCACCAACAGGACCACCCCCAAATAGTAAGCCTTTGGTAACAGCCCTGACATTAATGAAAACAGGTATACCAGGCGGTGGTGGTCCTCCCTTTAATCCCAGCACTCGGAAGGCAAAGTCAGGCCAGCGTGGGCGGTTACACAGAGAAAACCTGTCTCAAAAAACAAAAAAAGGGAAGACAAAGATAACCCAGTAGAAATAAAAATGCGGAAGTAGACTTGAGTGGGGGCAAAAACTACATTTCCCGCCAAGCCTTTCGGCGTGTCGTGCTTACCTAATAAGTCGCAAGCGCGCCTTTCCCGCGGAGGTCTGAGATGTTAAACGCCCTCCCTGGTGAGTGGGCGTGGCTTCACGCTGGGCTCTGAGACCTGGGGCTGTCTTATTGGCTGTGGGTCGTCACCGGCGAAGGCGTGGTGTTTAGTGACAACTAATCAGAAGCTTGTCTTGGACTTTGGCGCGAGACGAGAACGCTGAGGCTGTGCGGATTTGGCGCGAGCTCACTTCACTGCTGCTGTGCTTCTTGTGGCGGGAGAGTCCTTGCGGTTGTGATCGAAACACAGGAACGTGCGCTGAGGCGACACAGCCCTGAAGAGTGTAAAGGAGCAGATTACTCCGGGAGGTCTGAGAGTTGGTCCGGGGCCCAGAGAGTTGGGGCTGGTTCGAGCGTGGCCTGTGGAGAGCGGAGATCGCCTGAGGTCTGAGGCTGGGTCAGGGAGGGGGTTGTGTGCCTGCTAGGCGTGTGAGCCAGGAATGGTGGGAAAGGAGCTGAGATGTGCTGGGAGGAAACGGAGCAGGGTGGGGTTGAGAGCTGTATGGAGTGAAGGCTAGTCCTGGGCAGAGGAGGACGGAGCTGCACTGCCTGGATCTGGGAGAGCCTAAACGTTATGGTCTGGAATTAAATTAGTGCTAAATTTGTCTCGCGTGTTTAGAGTGAAGAAGCTAGAAATCGCTGGAGGTAAACTTATGGCCTCGCTCAAGTGTAAGAACTTTGGGCTCTGGCTTCAGGATGCCTGGGGTAATAGTCGTGTTTTTCTATAACTGTCTCTTTAAGAGCAGGATAATAGTTTTCTACATCTGAGTTATGGTAAGACTGAAGTAATATGTGTATAATGGCATGTTACACATACTAGGGAGACACATGGTACCTGTTATTACATAGATTTGGATAAGAAGCAGAACCAAGTGTTAAAAATACTGTTAACATAATTTATGAAGTGAACGTTGGCCACCAATACAAATAAGCTGTGTGTTTTTCTTTTTGCTTTCATAAATTTACGGGCTTCCAGGTTCTCTTTTGTATCCAGTTGTGTGGTCATCATGCCTCAAACCCGATCCCAGGCACAAGCAA